CAAAGTTACTTCTTCAAAGTCATCATTTGATAAAATTGTTTCTACATAGTAAGCTTAACACTTGCTAAATGTTTTCCACTACATGAACACTTTGAGAGTTAATGATAAATATAGTATCAATACAATTTTTAGTCGTATAAATTTAATCAGCAATTAGTTTCTGACTTGAAGCTCAGTATAATAATATACTCAACATATTTTCGAATACATTTTTTCGAAAAATATTTGAAGTATGTTGAGTTGTAATTTTCAACGTTAACTGAAATATATTGTTTATTGCTAACAAAATATTGGCTCCATCTTACATGTTTATTTGCAATATGTATTGTATTGTTATTGTAAAAAAAAAATTGTCTTTTATGTTATACTTTAATATAACTGTTTCTACAAGGTCTAAATAACACTTGCTAAACAATGTATCTTACGTACGTTTTGTTTCACGGTTTATTTTGAGGTTCTTTATCGTAGAAGTTTACAGATTTTTTAAGAATAACAAATGTTCTTTAATACATTATGCAAAAAATCGCTATTTTTTTTTTTGTTATTGTCATTATTTTGGAAATTTCTTTGGGTGAGCATAAATTTATATTAATACCTAATTGTTTGTTTAGTCACACAAGGTCCTGAAAATCCAGGTAAGTAACAAACAAATTTTAACGTCACGTCATTTATTTTACATAAATTTGTGTGTATATATTTTTTAAATTTATCCTACAGATTTATTGTGTAACATTATCGCATAGCTTTATAGGCCTTGAACTAGAATACGCTTAAAGATTACATTCATTATAAATTTGTTTTTAGTGTATTACACAGCACCACAACTCAACAAAATATTCGATAAATATAACGATTTTTTTTTAATAAACTTTTTACTTTTAAAAGGTTAACTATAGACTATCAACAAGATTCTTTCGACATGGTTTTTATACCACTTAACTTTTTTGCCGTTTTAAATAATTTTTTTTGGTTAAATTTTTTTTTAGATTGCAATAATTGAATTAGATTTAGATAGAATTCAAGATAGCAATTTTAATAAGAATAATTTGCTGAGAATTCGGCCTGTTCGATAACCAGACTATCAATAAGATTATTATGACATGTCAATTTTATCAAAAAAGATTTTCTGAACTTTGACTCAGTATAATATATTGCAATTTAAAAATGGCAATCATAAATTAAAAACAATTGTTTTTAATGAAAAGATGTACAAGTTTAGTACTAAAAATGATAACTACTCAATTTATAAAATCAAAAGGCACGATAGGGTAGTAGCTAACCTGGTTTTTTGATGATATAATGAAATACAATACTATTAGCCCCGGTTACAATTATTATTGAATAACAAAATGGATAATTTAATAATCTTGGAGTTTATACGCGTACAACTAATCATAATAGAATTGCTTATTACATTTTATTCTTTAGAAGTATATTTATAATTGGTTAAAATATACATTTCTGAAAAAAATTTTGATTTCAGAGAATTAATGATGTAAAAAAGTTTTTAAATTATTATTAGAATAGGGTAAAAACTTACTCTATTATATACCAAGCGATTACTGTATCACTAAGCTCGAAATAAGCAAACAATCATATTTTAATATTTATTTTTTTTTTTTATGCAATTTAAATTGATTGATTGTTTAATGTAAAAGCTGCAACAAATGTTTCTCTAAAAATGTACAACATGATTCTTATTTAAACCTATTTAGTTATTGTTTTTCTTCGAACTTTTAAGCCATTTTAAAGTTAGCATACTAATGTATTTATTGAATTTTTGGTATTAGATGGCGCTAATGTGGATGATGGGCCGCCAAATAATTTAGAAGGTCAGTATAGATGATTTAGTTAGTACTAACTACTAATGTAGACTTCAATCATTATATGTTTTAAAAATAGTTATTTTTTACGCACCATTTTGTAAGTTTTTGTAGTTATCACTCTCCTTCTTGTTTTTCCGTGGTTTTCGTCGAACCTTTTTCTAACACTTATAAGTTAAAACCACCTGCAAACACATCAGAGGTGTTAATAATATTTCTAAAACACTATAGTCTATACATCATGAAGTTATAACTCTTATGTAATTTTTTATGCCATAAATTTAAGGTATCAATTAAATGACCAATTGTATTGATAAAAGTTAACTTGAATGTATTATAAAGTTATTTTGTCAATACACACACCCTTTTGTATGCGACTACGAATTCATATTGATACCCAATTTTGTTATTTAGACTCACAAGGTAAGTTACAACTATCAATTAACGAATTCTACCTGATATTAATATTAATTCGATTTAATATAATTTGTCTGATTAGGTAATAAAAAATTGGATTATAAGTCGTCAAAGATTTTACAAGGTCAGTATAGATGATGGATTTAGTAGTTATCTTATATAGACTTTAATTATTTTATATTTTAAGAATTGTTGTTTTTTTACGCACCATTATGTAACTTTTGTTTTCATCACTCTCCTTTTTGTTTTTCGACGATCCTTTTTATAACACTTACAAGTGTAAGCCACTTGCAAACACATCAGAGGTACTAATAATATCCCTAAAACTTTATAAACTTTGAAGTTATAACTCTAATGTAATTTTTTATATGAATATGAATACGACTATGAATTCATACTGATACCCAATTTTTTTATTTATGTTTGCACTCACAAGGTGCGTCAAGCTCACAAGGTAAGTTACAACTGTCAATTAACGGCACGTAAATAAAGTATACATATTATTGATTAAAATATATATTAGTAAAAAATAAATTGTATCACAGTAAATTTAGGACGTAGGAATGTTTTTATAAGTTTTATTAAAAAAAAATTGTTATTAAAAGAAGATAAAATAGTGTAGAAACCTATTCTAATGTTTACTAAACTTTTACTGTAAGAACAAGCTCGAGATTTGACGTTTGTAAGTGTATAAAGAGTATATTTATATTTATTTTAAAAGTTATTGTCACTGTATGAGTTACTGCAGTATGCGAGGTGCATTGAGCTTGGCCAGATTTGCATGTAATGTTTCAATTAATTTGTAATTCTTTTTCAATGTGATAGCTGTACCAAAATAAGAAACTGTATCTTTAAAACTAGATAATTTATTTTACACACGTTTAAAGTTAGCAAACAATAATTTGATTTGTAAAATTTGTTGGATTAGTTAACGCTAAAGTTGGTGGACCGCCGCCGAAGCATGGACAAGGTCAGTAAAGACTGTAGATTTATTAAACTACAGGTAAACTATTGTTTACCTAATGTAGAAATCAAAAGACACCTAACCTGACTTTTTTATGATATACTGAAACTTATTGGAAACTAATGAATATATCAAGATATGTGAAATGTAGTAATAGCTTTTCTTACTCAATCACGCTTTATCTTCCATCCTATATTTTAAACCCTAAAAAAATTAAAGTAACAATTCCAAACTGTTTCAAAATGTTCAGAAAATGTTTCTTTTTTGGATAAATGTTTAAGGTTACCAAATCGAAAAATCTTGTAACAATTATTATTATTATAATTATCGTTTAATAATATTATGTTATATTAAACAATAGGTATAAATAATTACAGTTTAAAACAAATCCTACATTTTCTGATTAATAATTTTCTATGTAATTTTAAATATTTTTTTTAATAATCAAATTACTTGAATACATGTTTTAATAGCCTACCCTGACTGGTTGACCGATATTAAACTAAACTCGTATGAAGTGCGAGAAGTTGCAATTGATGTAAATATTTATGTATTATTAATTTTATATTATTAAACTTAGTGTGATTCCACGTGATTGTAAACATAAAAGCCCGCATATAAATACCTAGTGTATATTTCTGGTAAAAATTGTTTTAGCTAAAAAAATGTTATACAAATAATTGGCATATTGAATTATCAAATATAATTTTTATCGTTAAATAAAAAGTATATAACTATATATCTTTTTTTCAGTTGCAGGAATAATATCGTAGAGTCATGAAAATGTCCAGCTTCTACACTATAATCATCATTAAACTGTGAAAAAATATTAAAAAACTAAAATTTAATTAGATTACAATAAACAAAGAATATATAGCAAATTTAAAGAGATTGATTTTTTATTGATTATACCTATTAATGTTTCGTTTAGTGTTTCTTTCGTTTATTATATTACAATTAAGCAATATATGGAAAGCGTATTGCCTATAGTCGGCTACAAAATGGCAGTTGTACAGTTATTGTTTTGTGCGTGATATTTATTGTTTTTTCTCTAAATTTTTAAATATTTAACAGAGTTATCATCACCAAACCTAATATTTCAATGATTTATCAAATTTATCAATTTATTGATTTGAGTATCACTAAACAATAATATATTCGACAATTCGTCTAATAACAAAAATGTTTATTGCAAACGAAATGTTTGCTTTATGACACATGGTTTTTTAAAAACGTCAATTGGTTTGTTATTTTACAAAAAAACCTTGCTTTTTGCGGCCTACTTTAATAAAACTGTTTCCATATTGACGTTGAAACACTTGCTAAATAATGTATAATGTATGTTGTTATACATTTTTCGTCCAACTTTACAGATTTTTACAGAATAACAAACGTTCTTCTATACATAATGCAAAAATCGCTATTTTTTTAGCTATCATTGTCTTGGAAACTCCTCACACGATTTTTGAAATATGTATTGTTTTGTTAGGGTAAAACTAACATAGTCTTTTATGTTATACTTTAACAAAACAGTTTTTCACTGTATAACTTGAGGTTCTTTATCTTACAACATTACAGATTTTTTAGACAATACATAACCAAAATTGTTTATTGCTAACAACATTTTCGCTCCGTATCACAGGCGTCTTAGAAACATATATTGTTTTGTTATTGACAAATAACATTGCCGTTTGCGTCATACTTTAATACAACTGTTTCTACATGATCTGAATAACACTTGCTAAAATATAATGTATGTTATGATCATTTAGGTTCTCCTCTGTACATTTTGAGGTTTTCGATCGTACAATTTACAGTTTTTTCAGAATAAAAAAAATTGTATTCATACAATATGAAAAAAATTGCCATTTTTTGTATAGCAGTCTGTATAACATCTTTGGGTAAGTTTTATTTGTATTTAATATTATTATTATTTATTACATTACAAAAGTTCTTTAATACATGCAATTCTCATTATCTTAGAAATTACTTTGGGTAATTATTATTTGTATTTTTGTTCATTTACAAAGTATAAACGGTATAACATCTGTAAATATGTATTAAGGATTTGTTTAAAGTAGCAAATTTTTTGTTGATAATTGTAACACTATGAAACTATAGTCTATTTTGCATGAGTGCCATACTTTTAGAAAAATTTATGATTTTGTTATTGTACAAATAACATTGCCTTATGAGTAATACTTAAATAAAACCGTATGTTATGATCATATAAGTTTTCCTCTGTAAATTTTTAGATTTTCTATCGTACAATTTTATACATTTTTTTTCAGAATAGCAATTGTTCTTTAATACATTATGCAAAAATTGCCATTTTTTTATAATTGTTTTTTTTTTTGAACCATTTGATGATTATCCAAATTGAACCAAATATTATAATTATAATTTTATAAAATTTTGAACGTTAACCGAAATTGTCTATTGCTGAAAAAATGTTGGCTCCATCTCACATGTTTATTTGCAATATGTATTGTATTGTTATTGTAAAAAAAAAAAAAATTGTCTTTTATGTTATACTTTAATACAACTGTTTCTACAAGGTCTAAATAACACTTAACAATGACGCTAAACAATGTATGTTACGTACGTTATGTTTCATTGTTTATTTTGAGGTTCTTTATCGTAGAATTTTACAAATTTTTTAAGAATAACAAATGTTCTTTAATACATTATGCACAAAATTGCTATTTTTTTTTTGTGATTGTCATTATTTTGGAATCTTCTTTGGGTAATTTTTATATGTATTTTCTTGCAATAAATTCTCAGGCTGACTACCCAAAGTTAACCAAACACTAGAATAATCATGTTTATTTGTATCTAGTTATTACACATAATTATATTCTACTCACAAAATTATTTATGCGAGTACAATTGTATATTAATACCTAATTTTTGGTTTAGTCACACAAGGTCGGCCATATCCACAAGGTGGTAAGTAACAAAAAAATGTCAACGTCGTGTCATTTGTATGTAAATTTTAGTTTCTATGTGGAGCAGAGATGCTATTGGTTTAACAATGATGTGGCCTTTTTTTTGTCTGTATACACTGTAACTTTTTTAACACTGGAGCAATTCCTTTGAGTAGCAACTCTATAAATCACAAATTTCATATTTTAATTTTTGGGGATTTAGGCGTAATTTTAGGACTATTTGTAAATACAGCACCTCAAATTAATACTTTCTAACTTTGCTGGTTTACATTGTGCTTGGTTTGGACTGTACTGGCTTAAAATTACTAACAACTGATTCGCATCAAAACGTTTATTCGAAAGTGATTTTATCACTTCCAGATTTAAAAATTCCTCTAAACCCGTGACCTGTCCCCACTAGCCCTGACCTCACTGTACTGGCTGTTTTTAAATATCTTATAAATTTGTATAGCTTTATTGTATAACATTATCGCGTAGTTTTGTAGGTCTTGAAAATGTTTAGTGTATTACACACCATTAAAACTAAAAATATATTTGATAAGTATAATGATATTTTTTCAATGAAATGATGAATCGAGATAAATACTGAAACATGACAAAAATTATACCTATTTTGATTTTTTCTTATACTATTGACAATACAATGATATTAGCAAAAAGTAATTTGTTTGTATTATAATATGTTGGAATAGGTGATAAGCCGGAGGTCAAAGGTCAGTATAGACTACTGAGTTATTATAACTACGTTGTTATGTATACAGGGTATCCCACAAAGATGTAAAAAATGAAATACATTTTGTTCTAAAGTATGTTTTTTTAAATTTTCGTTATATTTTTTCTATTAAATTCAACATAGCAATATTTGAATAAGAATAGATTTCTGAGAGTTCAGCCTGTCCGATAACCAACTTTAAATAGTTACTTTGTAAGTTATAAAACGTTAACTATAGACTATAAGTAAGATTCTTTGGAAATGTCAATTTTATCAACAATGATTTTCTGAATTTTGACTTAGTATAATATATTATTACAATGTAAAATGGCAATCATATATTAAAAATAATTTTTTTTATGAAAAGATGCACAAGATTAGGACTAAAAAATGATAACTCAATTTATAAAATCAAAAGACACGATAGGGTAGTAGCTAACCTGAAATGTGGCCTGTGTCTGTATCGTTTTAAATTGTATAGATAATTTGACACTTATGTTTGCAAACAATAATTTTTTTTTGTTCTTATGTTGGTATAGGTGAGAGTGATTCGAAGAAATCAAAAGACAAAATAGGTCGGTACCTAATCTAATATTTTGATGAAATACTAAAATTTTTAAAAAAGTAACTAGGAACGTGGCCAGTTATGTCTTGAATACTTCAATATTTATTTATTTTTTTGAATGTATAAGCTGCACTATAAAAACAAAGTTTATATTAAAAACCATAATACCATTTTACATAAACTTAAAGCTGTCGGCAAACGATAATACGGTTTGTATAATTTTTTTAATTAGATGACGCTAATGTGGACGGTCAGCGGCCGGAAGACGCAGGTTAGTTAAATCTATAGATTTAGTAGTTTAGCTAATGTAGAAATCAAATGATACTATACAACGTTGTCAGTACTTAAATTAACGTGATATTTTGATGATATACTAAAATATTCGGCAAGTGACTTATGTGAAACGATTTCAGTTTTTAATCAAATAATTTATTTTAAAAGTAGTTTTTACTTTTTAGTGGACATTTTTTTATTTGGTGGAAAGTAACTAATAAAAATTACTATAGAAAAAATTAAACAGCAGGAACAGTGGGATGTAGTAGTTTTTTTTTTAGTCAGCCGCAGTCCTCTTTTCATGCCGTATTTTAAAGATTTATTAAATTTTTAATGTATTATCCTGACCAAAGTTATTGTAAATCGCGTAGTGAATTATGTCTCTAAAACCATTTATATTTTAACGTTGGAAAATAATAATTTGTTTTATATAATTTGTTAATGAAACACCGGAAAATGTTGCGCAAGATCATATAGAGCCAGTTAATAATTATATTGGAAACAAATGTATTTAGACCTATTTGTTCTGATCGATATTTTCCATGTGTAAATAAGTCAATAAATACATTTATGTCAAGTATAATCTAATCAATATTATATAATGAACACCTAAAATGGTTTATTATTGTTTTTAGTTTGTGTCAAATGTGGGAAAACTATATCATCAGGTATGAGTTTTCATCACATTTTACTATGTTCCTTTAATTGAGAGTTTTCAACGTGAAGTACTTTATTAATCATTTTATTAGGTTTGCGCAATAATCTAATTTAAATAAAACAATGAATTTTGTTTACATAATTGAGCGTTTATATTTATTATAAAAATTATTTATCTTGGACATGTGAAATATCTTGGTAATATATTTTAAAATGTTTTAACGTTAAAAGTTCTCTAATGTAATAATTAATACTGCAACAAATTAAATGTATTATAATGTTTACTACAGCGGCAGAATCCGTGGGAAAAGGTTTTTGTGGTTTCATGCGTTGCTGGATTGGGGATGCAAATAAACATCTGCATTGTCCATCCCATAGGTTTAATTGTACCTAGTGGATATTAGGTATTATTATATTACTATAATTATTATTATTATTGTTAGGTATTAATATGGTTATAGGTTGGTCCTTTTTTTTCGAGCCAAAAGTAAAAATCGACTTGTTTACTTTGTCGTGAAGTTTATATTTTTTATTTATTTAATGGCGATTAAAGCATCTATAAATAGGTAGAAGAAAGGTCTGTCGATTGATGTATATTTCAAGTTAAAGTCGTCGTAACACGGAATGTCCATGATCATATTATCACGGCCGTGTGCAATTTTGACAGCTCTTCAATTGATAGACAATGGCTTCTCGTTGAAATAGAAAAAAATATAGAAATTCAAAAAATATAGACGAATATTTTTTAACAATTTGAAGCCTTTCGGGAAGGATCTCAATTTATAAAAATAAAAAAAATTACCGACACACATTATTCATTCCAAAGAGATTTTATGATAAGACAAAAAAAAAATTGTATGCATAAAATCATGTTTCTTTTAAAAGTGTTTTTTTCTGTAGATTTAAAGGATATTTTTTTAAAGTCATCATATAAATAAACTTTATTTGCCCTATAAAATGATTATATATATATATATATATGTGTTTTTTTTATTACAGAAAGGATCCGACTTTGGTACAAAAATATTCCAGTTTTTTATGAATAAATACAATATAATGTTCTATTTGAATTGTGTACATTTTTACTAAATAAAAATGATATATTTTACAATTATATTATAATACTAGAGCTCCGCTCTAGCTGGGGGCTCCGCCCCCAGGCCCCCGAGTCGGGCGGGTAGGTCACAGATTCCCGGTACTGTACCCGGCTACGCCGGGCACGCTCACGTCCCCTCGCTGCAAAGTATTTTCGGGGAGGTCACAGATTCCGAGGGGGGTGCCCGGCTGCGCCGGCCACGGTATGTGGAAGTCAGTGCACAGCGGTTCCTAGGGGGGTGCCCGGCTGCGCCGGCCACGGTGTCGAGCCATCGCAATACGTCTTAAAGGAATGCCGTTATAATTCATGGTACCTATAGGCTGTATCTAGTAATCAGAATTCATACCTAGTTATGGACAAATATTTTGCAAGCTAAGTACTGATTAAGTGAAGAGTAAGTCTAGCTATGTATCTGTAATTTCTTTAAATTTTAAATTGAAAAGAATAGTCTAGAAGTTAGACGGTTAATAAATATCAAGTGTCCGGTGTTGCTTACTTGGGTTGCTACCACTTTTACCAATTTGTATGAACTACCAATGTCCAGTTCCTTATCAGCGGGCGAAATTCGTATTGATAACTGATAAGGACGGCAGGTCTCCGAATGTTTTTAGCATTCGCTCGCTCGGCGCCGTCGCTTCGCTCCGCCAACTAAAAATATCCTAGGTTTGTAGGCTACGTCTATGAGGAGGTAACAGGTTTAAAATTAAGTTCAAATTAAAATTTTAAAAAGTTAAAGAGACTTGATAAGAAGCTGGCCATTGGGAAAAAGTGTATAATGGAAATTGTCTTTGGTAAAAGTTTTTATATTATAGACCACGTCATCAATATAGGCCGATGTCATCCCGCTTAACTTTATGAGTTGAAAACAGATAAAAATGTCTAGAGGACAGTCAGCTAAATGTCTGTTAAGGTTTACCTTTGTGAAACAAAATTTGTTTAAACGTAGTATGTTATATGTCTGTACACAGCAGTTCCGAGGGGGGTGCCCGGCTACGCCGGCCACGGTGTCGAGTCAGCTCACTACGTTTTAAAGTATACCGTTATAATTCATCGTACCTTTATCTAGTAATCATAGTTCATACTTAGTTTCGAAAAAGTGTTTTGCAAGCTAAGTACCGGTTAACTGTAGTGCAAGTCTAGCTATCTGTCAGATCAGAAACGTCCTACTACTAAAGCGAGTGTGCTACTTGCTTAAAAGACAATTTTTTTTTTTTTTAATTTGAATTGTTTGAGGTGTTGTTTACTCCACGGGCTTGATAATAGCTATGGTTAAAAATAGAAAGAAATGTTTAGAGGTCAGTCTGTATATGTCTGATATGGTGTTCCTATGTGCAACAAAACTTTTTCAAACGTATACGTTATATATCTAGATATTGGTTGAATTAAAATCCTTATTTGTTCAGAAATCACCGTCTATGCCATTATTCGGTAATGACGTACTGTACGTTTAGAATGTAACCAACAGCATAATGCATTAAATATGTATATTAAATGTCTGGTGGTTTAACAGAAGTTCATAAGTGTTTAAGAATTCAAGAGTAAATCACATGAATGAAATGTCTAGTTTATATTAAAACTTAAAAGGGAAAGAAGTGAAGAGTGATAAATACATTATTTTGATTTTTGATTGACTATTTGGCAGAGCTTATAAAAATGTCCAAAGAGAGGTTAAATGAAATGTCTCGATGCAAATCTTTTAGTTTTTGGATCTGGACCTTTAATGCTAAAGGTACTTTGATACTTAAGGTCTGACGTTTGTTGGTTTTTAGAAGTTTAAAAGTGTGGAAGGATGATATGTTTGTGTGACGGTTACTTAGGAACTCAAGAGTACAAAACATGAATGAAATGTCTGAAATAATTTGTAGCAAATATTTTTGATTATTCGAGTGTCCGGCGGTGATTATAAAAACGGTCAGAGTACAAAATGATAATAATAATAATATTCAGTGCATAAAATACCTAAATTATTTGATACTTATCCAGACATATTTTATACATAATAGATAAATTGATATATACATTAATACTTTTTTAAGTAAACCATGAAAGGTATATAAATCCATATGTTGATATATTTTTAGATGGCTAACCAACAATTCATCCTACTAAATGATAATAATCAAAAATTTTAAAATAATTTTATTTTTCATTATGTAGTATCAATTTAAAAAAATATAGCAAAATCTATAGATTTACTATACTTTTTAGGGTGGAGCGAATACTTATAATTATACTTCTATAAATAATAAAATAGTAAATTAAATGTTGAATTTCAATATAAATTTTAACCCTTTGAAGCACAGCATTTTTTTCTCCGATTTTCTCTGAACATGATTATGAAGGTGGTAATAAATATATACCACTGTGCGAGAGTAGGCTATTTTTTGAAAAAGTAGTATATTACTTATACCACCATGCTTCAAAATGTTAAAATGCAATAAAATGATTTGAAATTAATATTTTATTTTTATGTTTTAATTATGCCCTATGTCTGAAATCACACCACAAAAAAAACCAAAATAGTCAATATTAATAAGTATCTAATTTAGTTCAAGCTATATCAACAGCAGCTCAAAAAAAAAAAATATATATACATACATATAATATAAAAAATTAACATTAAATAGTTAGTAAAAATAAATGTTCAGACAATTTTTTTGATTTTTGATTACTACTCATAAAAATGGTCTAAGAACACAAAATGTTGAACGCTAAAATAATCTAAAGACAACTGTTTTAAGAATTTAAAAAGATGATATAGGGACTTTTGCTGATGCTTTTAAAAAACATACCTATAATTTTTTATAATAAGACTGTGTAAAAATGCATTTATTCGTTGGTTAAATAAGTATTATAAAGCCAGGGAGTAAAAACTGGAATGATTACAATAGCAAAGATGTTGCTATGTATAATGTGATTAAAATAAATTAAATCATGTGATATAGTTATTTCTTATTAGAGCGGAATGAACACATAGATATTTTATGTCAATAATTTATATACATTTTAAGCACACAAAAGTATCCCCAGGTTTATAAAACTAAAAATTGATTGTTTTTAGATCTGAACAATTTTTATTCAGTGCATCAAATATACTATTATTATTTTTTAAAAAAATATTTTTCATTATATATATATATATATATATATTATTATTATTTTAACAACAATAAACTTTTCTTTAATTAATCCATGTATTATGTTATTTTAAGATAGGTAAATAAATGTTTTTCTACTAAATAATTTACAATAATACTTCCTAAAAAAAAATTATCTGGAAAGTGAAATCAGATACATGATTTAAAAAAATAAAGTTATATGTTTGTCAATTTCAAAGAATACAAACTATATTTTCAACTTTAATGACAATTATTAGATTTTTCTTAGCTTGAATTGTTGATTTCCACATAGCTTACCTACAATGTCTGAATTTTCCAAAGTTAAAATATTAAAACCACAAATTAAGTCAAATAACAATTTTAAAAACCCCAAACGGTTAGTGATAGTACTCGATAGTGATCATACATATTTATATAGGTAAATCATCCTACTAAATGAAATAATTAAAATATATTCAAATAATGCCAATTTAACGTGAAATAATAAATCATTAAAAAAAAATATATAAAAAAACTAAAATAATTTTTATTCTATGTAGTGATCATAATTGTACAGCTTTAACAAAAAAATTTGAAATAATTAATGTCTTAATTATTTGTACATTAGTATCGTATGTGTGTGCACGTTAAGAAACTAAAGCGTTAAGAGAAGTCGGTTAAGATACTGTAGAATGAAAAAAAAACTGTCAATTTAAATTAGGGTTGAGTATAGAGATTAGATAGGCACTAATTATTAAAAAATACTTCATAAATAACAAAAAATGAACTTCTACGGTGTAAGTTTTCTGTTGGCCGCAGGCAAATTAATCGGTGACGGCATAGGATAACAGTCTGTAACCGATGGTAACAATAATAACTACTTATTGTATTAATTAAAGACAGAGTAGATAGAAGTAGCAATCAATCTTCTAAACGGACACACGTCGGTTATGATTTCACTATAGTATTGGCCTAAAACAAATAATTTACATATATATAAAATAAGTCAGTAAGTTATTTAGTTGAAAATAAATAGTAGTCAACAAATTTTTCAACAAAAAATATGAAATGTATCGTTATCACCACACACAGCGGTTTGAAGAAGATAAGAATTTTGTACATCTAATTAATTTGATAATTTGGTTTAAGCGAAATGTAATATACTACTATACTATATATTATTATATATATTCTAAATCTAAAAAACGTACCGACATCCAACGACGCATATTAATAGGTAATGTTTGCACACCGGGAAACACGTCGATTTCTCTTGAACGAAAACCGTGAGCGAATTACGGACAAATATGTAATTAATAATAACTATTATACGTTTAATATATAATTATATGTATATAATATAACAAACTACAAAGACAAAAATTCACCAAAAAAAACAAAACACGCCGTTCGCCGTTTTTAATTTTTCATTATTATATATATGATAACGTTTGACACACCGGGAAACACTATTGAATAAAAAACCACGTATGACAATGAACAACAGTGTAATTAATAATAATAATAATAATTTTACGTTTAATTTAAGGAAAGTACAAACTCGGCAATAAAAACAACACACGCCGTCACCGTTATTATTTGATACGATAACGTCGTGACATGATAAAAACGCGCGCCAACGCCACGCGCTGCCCAAGCCGCCTTTATGCTTGTCTATGAGCCAGATGTATTATACGAATCCCATGGAAGAGACGATTAGGCGACTGGCGGGACGTCGGCTATTTGAATTGACATTTTATATATATTATTATTATTATTATTATTATTATTATTATTATTATTATTATTATTATTATTATTATTATTATAATATATTATAATTATTATAATTATAATTATTATAATTATAATTATAATTAT